GATCAAACAGATTTTATCAATTGTAATAATATTAATAACTGAGCGTTTCATCTATGTTTATGTAGACCTGCAGTAACACATTATGGAATGTGGGATCAACTTCGTGTGGATCATGGCAAAGAGTTTTACCTGTGCCTCTACATGCAAGAGAGACTGTCAGAATATAGACACAACCAGCAAAGACAGCCATACCTCCAAACACAGTCAACAAGGGTAATGTCAACCATCTGCATCTAACATTACACCACTGGTGAAAAGTAACTAAGTATATTAAGCCAAGTACTTCACTTAAGTACAATTCTGAGGAACTCGTACTTTACTTGAGCATATCCATGTCTTGCTACTTTATGCTCCACTACATAATGAGTAATCTAATTATTTCCAATATATCAATAACTTTGGCCAATTGTCAAGAATGGTTACAACCAGTACTTCTGATAATACTTATTCTAGGATTTGGAATACAGAACTTTTATCTTATGATGTTTTAAACATTGTGTGGTCCTGGGTATTTTACACAACAAGGTAATTCTTAGTCTATTCACTAGTTCCCAACTGTTAATAACATAAAAACAGTTGTTAACACATTGTTAACAGACCTCCATCATCTCCTTTTTAAAAAAACAACAACACAGAATCACACAGAGGAAAGGATGTGGCCAGAAATTAACAACAGAGTGAATTATCCACTAAAGGAGGCCCTCATCCAGCTACAAGATCAGGAGGCCATAGATATGGAGGACAGTCTGACAAGGTTTTGCACATCTAATCTGACCTGCCAGATGTGCCAGATTGGCATAAACAGATTTGTGAAATCATGGAATGCTCACAGGATTCCAGGTATGTCACATTTCCCTTACAAGTTTATTCAGTTTAAGTGTTTTGTCATTGAACATCACAACAAACATTTCTTGTCTTGTTAAAGGGAGAGGGATACCAAATCACCTAGCAGGGACCGGAACACCAAGAAAAATCACAACCGATCTTCTACCAGATGCCACAGTTGCAGCAGACATGTATGACAGGGACATGGGATCCTCCCTCACCAGAGTATCTTCATTCGGAAGTGACCCCTTTCTGTCTGAGGCAGACAAAGTGAGAGCAGAGCAGCACTTTGCACGTTATTACCCTGACCTTTCAGTTATTTTTGACAGTGCTGTCAATTACAACTATGCTCCCTTCAAAGAGGCCTTGCACTGCATGAAAAGTGGGATTTTCGTCCCCGTAAACTGTCGGAAATCTCCCTAATTTTCGGCAGTTAACGACAATTTACAGACTGTGAACGTCGCGTTCCACTGTGCCACATATTGACGGAAACGAACCATGACGTATGCATGGAGCGCTCGCGGAGGTGTGAATGGCCCTAATTAGCATATGAATAGCAGCACTGCGCGCGCCTTGCCAGAGAATGGCTTGAATTTCCTCACTCAGTATTGGTTGAAATTCACTACATTTAAACAAGAAAGTCACTCGTGATTGGTTGGCAGATCTGTTATTATTGGTCAGCTTACATAAAATTATAATAATAATAATTTATTTATTTATATTCATATGATATGCTATTATGTTGCATATTCATGTCATTGTTATCCTATGGACTAAACTATTATTACCATCAAGGACATGAATTTATTGAGGAAAGGAACATATGCCAGATACTGTTTATTCAAAGAAATAGCTTTATTAGAACAAACACACAATGTACAAAGCATAGGAGAACATCTTCAAAGCACAGAAAACATGTCCTCCACCCTCTGGAAACATGGGATAACATACATACAGCACTACAGTTATACAAATAAATCAATAATATATTGCATCTTTATTCAAAAATAAATTGCCCTGAATGGCATCAGAATTGGGCACCAGATATATCAAACACAATGTACAGTGGAGGCAGAATTATGAACAAATAATAAGGATGTAATTTATAGGGATAGTTCAGTTTGAAATAAATTTTTGATATGTTTTAGCTTACCTCAAGGGCATCCAAGATGTAGGTGTCTTTGTTTCCACAATATTTTCAATTTTGATATTTTTAGGTCAAACCGTTCTTGTCTGTCAGTCATATAATGGAGGTCTATGGTCACCACCTCAAAGAGCATGCACAGAGAAGTCCAAATTAAACATGATTTAATGACTCATAAATTAAGTACACATTGATGGCCTAAGACACGAAACGAGCGATTTGTGAGAGAAAACAAACAGTTTATATATATATATATATATATATATATATACACACACTGTTCATTTTCTCACACAAACCGCTCGTTTCGTATCTTAAGCCATCAATGTGTACTTACAGTTACGAGTCATTAAATCATGTTTAATCTGGATTTCTCTGTGCATGCTCTTTTAAGAGATCCCCATAGATTTCCATTATATGACTGACAGACAAGAATGGTTTGACGTAAAAATATAAAAATTTAAACTACTGTGGAAACAAAGACACCTACATCTTGGATGCCCTTGAGGTAAGCTAAAACATATCAAAAATTAATTTTAAAGTGAACTATCCCTTTAAAACTCTTAATTCAAGTCCTGTAGGCTCATCGGGGCGTAGTGAATCCTCCACCTCCAAGTCTTTGCGACGCGTGCTTGAGGTGCTCACACACGTTCACCTTGATGTACATACACCTCAGTGGCTATGGAACCAAATTTCATGATCCCTTCTGCAAAGTTGAAAAAGACCAATGATTTAGATGTATGCAAAGGCAATCTGCCCCAAGTCCCCACATTTGTAAGCAAAAATATGTTTCCTTTGCATCCACTACCTGGTTTCCTTCAGGCGATGGCGGATGTCGACCAGTAGTTTCAGGACATTTTTCTGGAACACTGAAATAAACAAACACATTTGGTGAGGTTTGCAATGCTCTAATTAGAATAGCAAAGTTTGCTAGCTCACAAGAGAGAAGGTGTCTATTAAAAGTGTCTTCTTGTGACGGGGCGCATAGCTATCGTCACGGCAGCGATACGCTGCCTATCCTTGTACACAAAGACTGTGTGTAAATGTGATCCGAATGTTTGTCTAGCACGTTAAAGTTTTTGTTAATCTTTATTCTGTCATAAATTAGCGGTTAATCTAGCCTTTCATAACAAAAACTCATATATCCCGTAGCTTTTGGTGTGCACATCTTTAACAGCTAATACTGCGGTGATTTAAATGCTATAGCTACTTCCATCAATACATATCTTGCTGTTTTCAAGAAAATTATGTCATCTACATCACAGTTATATGCAGTTACAATAATCACACAATACATGTTTTCAATAGGTATCTGTTTATTTAGTTTAAGAGAAACATTGTGTTCACATACCATCTTTGTTGTACTCGCGTCTCTGGTTTGTTTGAGTAAAGGAAAATGTGCCGCTATTGTGGGGTTTAAATGACGCTATGACTTCCGGGTCAAGAGAAAAATTACCCGGAGTTTGAGTTTAATTAATTCGTAGCTGTTAATGTGACTTTTTGCTTGCCAATTGTCAGCTGAAACTGTAGAAATAATATTCTGTAATTTTCTAGTTTTATAGAGGTTGTATTTCATGCTGTTTTTAAGCATTTATGCTGTTGTCATCTGAGTCACCCCTGTATCATAATCATGTGTTGGTATGTTCCAATTCCATGGGTGAACTCAGGTCTATAAAGGCTAGTATTTTCATTCTGTAAGGGGAGCGTGGGGTGAAAGGACATAAGTCTGTCCTTGCTCTAATATACTGACTTGTGTTAAGGTCAATGTTTGAACTGTTGTAAAAGTTTTTTTATTTTTTTTTATTTTTTTTTATTTATTAAATGTATTTATTTTGACTCTCATGTCAATTTACTTTGTTTATTCAAAAGTATTTTTTTTTGTTAATTTTTTTTTTTTGCTTTTCATTGGCCTTAATTATGGATAAATAAAATCCCATCTATGCAAACTCATCTGACTTCTCCTGAGTGCTACATCTGCTCATGACCATTCAGTCACGACTACCCATAACACTTCTCCACTGCCAATAGATCAATACTTACCAGTCTCAGTCACTGCATCTCCCAGTCTCAGTCACTGCATCTACACCACAAAAAATGTGTTATACAAGTTATTATCAAATGATGAAACTGAACATATTTATAAGATGATAAATAATAAATCTGCAATATTGTAACAATTAGAGATACATCTATAAAACTTGGTGAACTGCAAAGTACTTTGATGAAAATTGCGGCCTTATTTGTAAAAAAATTCTAAATTACTTGATTTCTTGTTCAAAGCAATGTGTACACTGTGTAACAGGCATCCAGGGTCATATGACCACCACCTGAATAGCAAAATAATCCTAAATGAGCTTAATGTGAACGCAGCCGACAACTCACCGTGCCTGTCATGTGCTGAGATCACTGCGCTGTACTCTTTTATCATGTCTGGACCTGGGCGGGGGACTGGGGGCATCACTACGGGATCGGTCTTCATGGATTTATTAGTTCCATATGGTTATACCTGAAATTAAAATAATTTTGTAATTATAATACGTTTCCTGTTGTGTTAGTATATGTGCACTGGAAGCCTCAGCACACAAACAAATTCCTTATGTGTGCAAGGCAAGCACACTAGATAATAAAGCTCTTTCTGATTCAGATTCAAAGTAATAGCAGTGATTTGAAGACTGTGTGCCTCGCACCATCACTGTACGTGCCGTGACCCATCATGTCTGGACCTGAAGGTGTGCCTCGAACAATCTCTGTGCAGGACCTGATGGTGAATCGAACACTGGACCTAGTAACATTTAAACTTGGCCAAACATTAATGAATATAACATGCCATGTTCCAGTTCTCTTTGGCGTTTTCACCACTGTCTTACTCTCAAAGTCATCCGTAAACACAGACGTTAATACCAAATTAGTTTAGTTTTACTGTTTATTTGACTGGGGCCTGATCAAAAGAAAAGAGGATGAGATCACAACACGTAACGTTACCTTGTTTAGGTGTTTTTTCTCCTATCAGGGAAGGGCACCTCACTCCGGCTTACAGCACCTGAGAGACAAAACAAATGCGTTAACAAACATCACAAACAGATGGAGTTAAAGATTTCACTCCATCACACAACAGCGTTGCAGTTTTACAAACAAGGATAGCCTACACTAGAGCATACAAGCACATTACGAACTTTGAGTTTGTATGATCCTGGCACATATAATTTTTCCATAATTTCTGACGATATTCAGAGTAAACGCATTGGGAAAAGCCCGTTGAACACCCAATACGAGTTAGTTTGATTACTAGCAAAGAATGGTAGCTACCTAGCAGCCAGATAACAACGTGCAAAATACAATTTAGTGTCCCAAATTGACATGAAACTAAAAAACTATTAAGAGCAGCAAGCTAACGCAAAACAAAAAAACTGTGCCGTTAAGGTTAACACCCTTGAACATTCGCGGCAGTAATCACAGCAGGTTTGTGAAGTTTAAGACAATAACGCTAAACTACCAAACACTATAAGTAGACATGGACATAGAATTCACTAGATTGGACGAACTTACCTTCAATTTAGAGGAGATGGGTTCACCAGTGATCATGACGGCGATGTAGGCTGAATATCTGTGCCGTTATTTTCTGCTTCCTTTATTGGGGTTTTGCATCTGTGCCGTTATTTTCTGCTTGAAAAACCAACCATGTGAAAAACACGCTGAATCGCGCCGCTCGCGCCACATGGCTCGCATGTTGCCTCGGCCTATCAGAGTGGCTGGCGTTACAGGTTGGGTTATGATGATATGCTGCCTCAGCCAATCAGAGTGACGTTCACTGGATTTCGACTGTGGTTGAAATCAAAGCTCTTGATAGAGTTGTCCTCGGCTGTCCATGACTTTTCTGTTGCTGTTAGTTCTTTTTAAATTAGGAATAAGGTGGATAGACCTAATATAGGCTACCATGAAATGAAAAATACAAACAGGGTGTGCATAAATAAATAACTTGATTAGGCTACTTAAAATAAATAAACCAGTAAAAAAAAAACAAAAAAAACCCATCTGGTTATAACTGTGAATTAACATCCAAAGATGTTATCATATAATTTTAAAACTGCTTCTGTAAATGTTATCATGAATCCTATAATTTTATTAGGTAAATTTCATATTCATAAGAGTAAAATGAATAATTCTAAACCTTGTTTGAAGTTTTTTTTTTTTTTTGGTCTGATTTTCCGTTGTATATTGAGTCTCTCTATCGATAAAAAATGTAGTGATACAATTGTATTTACTAAAGAATATTGAAGCTAATTGAAAAGTGAATTAATGTGTATGCTATTTTCTTTCTTTAAGTAGTACAAATTACTGGTTTCTAGCTTTCTCTTAAATCATTATATTATACATAATAGATAGTCCTTTTCCCCTTTTTATTTTATTTTTTCAATTCTGTCCTATTTTTATTTTTTCTTATTCATTTATAGTGAACTTATTATTTGTTGATTGTTATCTTTTTGGATATGCTATTGTTGTAATTGTTGTGCATTATGTGTAATGTAAAAAAAAAAAAAATCTATTTCTACCAGAGATTGTCCTAGAATGAGGTATATCTTTCAGAAAAATGTTACCTGGGGTGAAACTCCCCTACCCTTATTTGCATGTGTATAGCTCACAGCATTTTCATTTACATGTCAAAGCCTCCTCTAGATTTAGGAAAAGGGGGGTCATGGGGGGACAACTGGCAAGCAAGGCCTACGTCAATTTCCGGCAATTCACGGCAGTTTTGGGTGTTGCCTGTAAATTGCCGTGTGCAGTCATAAACCTGAACTTTCACGACAATCTACAGTGCCGCTTACTGACGAAAATCCCACTTTTCATGCAGTGTTGATCTACGTAATTGATGTAACAAAGACTTGTTCCTAATTTCATGTGCACTGGATTGTGAGGAGCCTTGTTAGATTGATGGACATCTCTCTGTACACCATTATGCAGGTACTACAACAGTAAAGGGTGTAAATATACCCTGATGGTATTTACCAAACAAGTTTTACTTTACGTGTATACAAGTGTCACTGTTATATGTCAACTGCTTATTTTGTTGCCATTAATAAATCAATTTACTGTCATTGTCTCCATATTAAACTTTATTCACAGCGTCGTTTTATGGAGAAAAAAAAAACATTTATTTTGCTTTTGTACAGAAACACAAATTGTGTAAACAAAGTAAGACAAGCTTTGCAAATCTCCACAGAACAGCCTGTCACAACACATTGCCACGTTTAGGCCTAGTAGCTCTTATTAAATCACCGTGGACTGTGAACAATAATGTAGAATAAAAACATCTTGCCACAGTTACTGTAGGCCTACTAGCTCTTATAAAACTACTGTGAGGTGGGAACAATGATGTAACATAAAACATTGTAACATTTTAGCTCTTAAAACTCCAGAGCTAAGAACATTGATGCAACATATAAAACAACAATCCTCAATATCAAAAATATTTATAACATGATATAACAGACAAGTAAGGATTAATGGCAAGAAGAAAAGCAGCATTTACTCTTCGTGTGCCAGCTCTTTCATGACATTTACGACACCAGAAAAGGCCAGTGACTCTGTGAATGTTGATCGAAAAATTATCTGCTCGACACTTCAAACACATTGAGGAAGTCTGAAGCCACACAGTAGTGCAGGATCTGCATCCAACCAAACTTCCGCAGCATGCCGCAAATACTGGATCGTCCATGATTCCTGCCAGCGTAAGAAATAAATATTAGAGGTCTGAAAACACAATACAAGATATACTAAATGAAAAATGAAAAATATTTTTCCAATTGAATGTCAGACAGCGTTTCAAAAAGCATCCTTTATATAATAAAGGCGGTCCTATATAAGAGTCCATGTATGAGATAAGTTTTAACAAAAAAATAACAAATTCTGTCTACAGATGCTCCAAGCACACCCCGTACCACTTAATATCACAGATGTAAATTCCTGAATTATGCTTAAGGAATGGCTTTGCTTTTATGTATTGTTTTCCTTAATCTCAACTGGCTACACAAAGAACACCAGGAGCAGGACACTTAAGATTTTAAATGACTACATCATAAATTCCAGCAAACAACAACAATATGTTTTTCAGGGTGAACACATAATTTTGTGTCTTCCTAAGGACAAGACTTACCTCTGCAAACCAGACAAGTGAATGTATCCCTAACATTCCTGGACTGTTCTTCAGTCAGTACCAATGTTGTGTTCCTGTTTCGATGGACCAGATCAGAGAGTCCCTGAATGGCAGTTGTCACCTCAGACAAACCCTGAGCAGCCAGGACAAGCTCCTCGATCTTCTCGAACACACTGTCCAGTCCAGCCTCATCATCTCTGTGTCTGTGAAAGACAAATGTCACATGCACATGTTAAATAATTAGAAACTGTTAATGTGTGCAAATGATATCACATGCCATTACATTCAGATTGATTATGGACACAGAAATGATTGCTTTTGTGGCAATCAAATATTGCATAAAGTGGCCATTGACTGAAGCGGACCAATTGTAGGAGATATAGTTGTATCAAAGAAAAGACTCAGATAAACCTGGCAGTGTTTCTGGACGGACTGACAGAGAAATGTGCTATTATTTTAGGTGCTTTCATGCATTCTCTTTGAATATGTTGTATCAGACCAGCTCTGCTTTGTCAGGAGGAAAAAGTGAAGGGGGTGTAACAGAAGCCACTGGTAGTCCGACTTACGAGATTCTTCGCCTCTTTTGTTGCACAGCTTGGAAATCAACCTCTGGTATAGCCATAATTTTTCGCGCGTTCTGCTTCCAATAAAAGGTGCCTAATTGAGAACAAAATATACAGTATGTAGAAATAAAAGCTCACTCTTGAAGATGGACATGTGAATGCATATTCATTTGATTTTTATCTGAAATGGCAAATGTTTGACATTGTTATTGGCTCCAGTTTAAAATGTGAGACTATAAATGTTGACATCACATTTTCAAGATAAGACACCTAAACTATAATTTGAGATGGTAAATAAAATTGCACAAATGGAGCACCTATTGTTCCTTCTGAGTCCAATATTTCCACTCCATTGTGGTCTGTCAGAATGAGTTGTTCAGTGCTTCCTAAGGCATCTTTTACTTTGGCAATCATGGATGGGACACTGGCCTCCTGCTCAGTAAATCTTACAACCACCATTCTGCTGTTCACAAGCTTTCCACTCCGTACTTCTCCCAAACTGACAGTCCTGGAATTCAGAACAACTAAATTTAGGTTCATTCAAAATTAATAAGAATTTTTGATAGATTAATTTTGAACATACAAGAGAACATTAATATTTGTATTCTATTGACAAAGGCTTGGAAATTGAAAAAAATGTTCCTTACCTTGTAAAGTATTTCATGGATTGAGCCCTGGGTGGCACTGAGGGGCTTGCTGAGCTAGCCAACCTGGAGAAGCGAAACTGGCCGCTTGTGGAAGGAGTAGGTAATGCCCCTGCAGCAATGTTAACACCTGAATCCAGCACAGCCCCGGCCCCGTGTACTTCGTAATGAGCCTTGTCCTTGAGGTCGAATGAACTGAAGAGGCCCTCTACTCCAGGGAAAACTGCCACATTGGTATCGTCAGTGGGGTACAGGCTCTGGCTGGTTACCTAAAAAGAACAAAGTCCTGGTAACAAAAATCCTGGTAATGTAATTCAATAACCGTTTCCACTATTGTTAGGTGCATAAATCCACTACTACTATCGGTTACTAGTTTATTAGGTTTATTATGCAAGTAAATTAATGTAATACAATACAACAGTCCAGCAAAAAAACATGTGCAGTTATTACAATGCAAAAGTTATGTCATAAAGTACAATTTTTGTTGCAACTGTATGATAATTTTAGAGGATGGACCTTGAACCGTTTGGTTCCCAATAAAGTCCATTATATGGAGAACATCCTGGAATGTTTTCATCAAAAAATCTTAATTTCTTTTCGACTGAAGAAAGAAAGACATGGACATCTTGGATGACCATGGTATGTCACATTTCCCTTACAAGAAAAATTATAGAAACGCCCCTCTGTACAACACAATACTTCAACATTGCCTAGTTACTAACACCTATGCGGCTGCCAACTAAGTTTAGCTGTCACTTACTTAACCCACTGGGTTTCTTCGTAAATGGGTTACACTTAGCTTCCTCCCGGTCAAAAATGGACGAACCCTTAAAATTTAATTTAACTTTTTAATTTAAATTAAAATTTAATAAAAAAAAAATTTAATACCCAAATGTCAAAAAAGTTACTCGAATCAATGATCAGCATTAAAAAAGCCACATTCTTACAGATCATTAAAAAAAAAGTTTAAAGTTTGTTTAGGGTTTAGTTACCCTTTATCAAATCAGTATCATCTCCTTGATTTTTTTATTTTTTTTTGTGTAATACAACAAAAGTCACCAAGTTTCACCCCCATCCGATGAAGCAAAAAAAAATAAAAATAAATAAACAATAGGGGATTGTCACGCTTCCGGGTTTCATGGGCGGGATTTGTCAACTTTGTGCATGTCCAATTCCGACGCAGTTCAACAATGGCTGAGACGAAGGCTATATAATGTCACTGCTCTGTTCCACTTTGTAAATCTAACCAACAACGCCAACCCTACTTAAGTTTTCATGGATTCCCGACTGAATTGGCTTTATGCACAGCTGCACTACTTTCTGAACTTAAACCAGCTCCTTGTTTCCTGTCTGCTATTATTGGACAAGCTTGATTAATTCAGGTGTGTCTGATTATTGTTGCCGTGACTACTGAGGTCAGGCACACCTGAACTAATCAATTTGTCCAATAATGGCAGACAGGAAACAAGGAGCTGGCTTAAGTTCAAGAAGTAGTGCAGCTGTGCATAAAGCCAATTGAGTATAAGGAAGAAGTGGATTAAAACTTTAAAATAAAACAAGGTAGCATGTTTGTTTGCAGCCGGCACTTTAGTGTATCAGACTAATTTACCAGGGATGCCGTATAAATAAACTTAGTGTATTCCGTCATCAGTTCGCCAGCGAGATCAGTGATTCAACGGAAGTGGCAGTGCACAAAGATCACTGAATCCGGAAGTCCTACATATCAGCGTGATAATCCACCTATTCAAAAAGTAAACGTTTTCGATCATTTTCTGACGAAGAAGCCCAGAGGGTTAACAATTCACCAAATGTTACACATTCAAAACAATGCTAGCAAACTAGAATTCATTAACTTTAGTTAGCTAGCGTTAAGTAATCTTTGTGAGATAAACTGTTTGAGAATAATAGCAACATTCGATTAGCGATTGCCATACCTGAAATATTTTAGAAATCTTTTCCACCGTCATGTCCTCCTCTCTCAGCGTCACTCTTTTTGTGTCTCTGAAAAGCACAAACGATGGATCCATAATGTCGCACAGTAGTATGGAGTTAAACTGCTTCGTAGGCTTGATACCTGTTCCACGCGGTTGGAGATTATCCACTGCGCATGCGCGAAATAGAATTGATCCCGCTGTGGGAAATAGGAAAACAAATAAAGAAAAATAGAGACAACGTAAATTCGACCCATTATTTCGTTTTGGTTTCCTTGTTTATTATATTTCCCGTTTCGAGCTGAAAACAAATCAAATGAACGAAAATTTTCATATTTGGTTCATACAGAAAAACAAAAACATTGATTCGTTTTTTCGTTTTTGGTTTGCCAGATTAAATGGAATAATCGAATGATCGGATGATACACGGACCCGAAAAAAGTTTTTAATTGGTTTTTCGTTTTTTGATTCTGACATCAAAAACGGTTATTTGGTTTTCTATTTGAAAATAAAACAGAACAACGGTATTTTCGTTTCATAATTACAAACAAAATACGAATTATCCAGAGATCCCCTGACCGTATACAAACATCATAAGTCTGCTCAGGTCATTGCTTCATAATTAAATAATTTGTCTGCTATTTCTTTGCACAGTAGCTAGATATCACTAGTGAACAATACTGAATGAAGCTTCAAGTAAAAAACCTTTGGGTGAAGCAATGGGCTGCAAGGTCTCAGTGGTTCAGGAAGCCTCATTTTACCATCACTAATTTAAGGGTCAAGAGCCCAGCTAAACCAAACACTAATCTCCATAATGGTGACTTAAAATTCATTTTTTTTCCTTCAGTGATTCTGCTTGTTAACATCAGGTGTCTTCAATAATGCTCAATCATCATGTAACCCGGGTTAAAAATGCATAAAGTTATAAGTGATGTTAGTTGTAGGTCTATCATTTAGTAATTAGAGCATAAAAGTTGTGTCATTTGAAAAGGTTGAAAAACATGCAAAAAGAAAAGTTATAATAAAAATGTTAAAAGCAGTTTTAAAATTATGTTTATTGTTTTAGTCAAGAGATAATGTATTTCTGAAAACTGTCTAAACCAGCATTTATGGGGTTAAGAGCAGGTGGGTGGAGTGAGCGCGACGTTGGAAAAGAGAGAAAAAAGTTCGAGAGAGTAAAGCACACGAGTGAGCGTGACTCAGAGATGTTCTGAGTTAATTTGTGAATCAGTAGTGTACAAGCCAGTGTATAACTCGTATTTGATGATTGTTTGCACAACAACCAGTGAGTAGAGTGACAAGTTGTACATTGTGAAGCGGGATGAATTTCTACACGAAGTTCAGAGACTGTTTACTGTTGTGCTACTGCTAGTGCTAATGTAAGTCTGTTCATTACAAGTGAAGGACATTTTTAAAGTTTGAGTCCCTCCGTTGAACATTTCGAGGGGTTTATCTGCTGTGTTCGACCTGAAGACAAGGAAGATACTCAGACGGAGTTTGGAGCATTTGGGATTTCTCTCGTGATCTCGTGAGTTTGCTGGGGACGTGGAAGAGAAAAGATAAACCAACGGAGTTCGTTTGGAAATGCTAATGTGATGCTGAGCCTGTTCGAGTGATTACTGGGGTGAAGACGGGACAGAAACATTAACTCGAGGTATCTTTCTTTTATTTTGTTTGCTCACTGACGAGTGAAGCGGCCATTGAGTTTTGGGCCACAACGAACACAAGCACCACATCAGGCCTGCTACGGTATTTTATTTAATAATCATTTAGTTGCCGGCTTTAGATTTCATTAAGGTGTTGTGGGCCCACAAAATATATTGATTTAAGTGACTTTGTTGTATTTGAGTTTTGCGGAATTAATGCATTTGCAGGTTATTGAGGTTTAACTTGTTACTGTGCATTTATAAATTATAGTACTAACTATATTTCCCTTTACGAAAGAGGGATATTTTGTGTTGAAGGTTTAACAAAAGGACAATCCTATTTTATTTAATTTCTTATTTTGTTTTGGATATAATTGTTTTTTGAGTAAATAATTGAGATATATTTTTCTAAAACCTTGTGGTGTGTTATTTTAATTCCTATCTGCAAAGAGGTTATCTTTTTATTTTGAGAGAGACATACAGACACTTTTGGTTAAAAAGCTTTATTAAATACTCAACTTAAAAAAGGTAAATTCATAGATAGGTTTAAAATAGTTCAAGTGAGTATTTTAACAGAGAGATCCAAGATAATATTTAAAACTGAGTTAATCAGGGTTAACATACATTTGAAACATTAAAAGAACCCAAAAGCCCTACCCTTATCAGTATACATACTGAGGGGAGCGCTACAATCACTCAATTATTCACTTAATTATCTCATTAACTTTAACACTGCTTCAGTGTTCATTTAACACTCTGCTCAGAGTTTATATAATTCACACTCTCAGTGTTAATGTAACACTGGGGATTTTTCTGTGTACGCTGCCGATTTATCTATATGGACAACTAACACATTGGATTGTAATCAGTTGTACATATAGGCAGGCAAAATTATATCAATTATATATATTTCAATAATCAATCACACGAGTTATGATTAAATATTAATATATCAATTGTCTATCATAGATAACTCCTAATGGAATTACCGGGAATTAATTACTGAATAATCTGTTCATCAGCAAATTTACCTTACGGTCTTTCAGTAACCCTCAAGCAAAGTTATTCTGATAACTTAAAAATGCAGACTATCTTCCTGGCCACGGAAAATAGCCCCCCTTTTCTATAAACAAAATACTATTTAAATTATCTTTCATTTGTAAAGGTCGTAGCTATAAGATCTAACATTTCAGGGACCTCGAATATGAATATAATGTCTTTAATAAAGGAAAAACTTTGTATACCGATGAACTAAAGCTACACGGATAAAAATTTATTTACAGCATTATAAGACAATAAAACAACAAAACAGCGAAAGTAAAAGCATACAGATGTAACCTGGCCAATACATTCAATATATTTTGAATTCAAATACTAATGACTACGCCACCTCGGGAGTTTCACCCAAGGAAGTCAAGGAACACAGGTTCGGTGGTGCAGTAAACAAAAAAACAGAGTCGCTTGGTACAATAAATAGATTAGTGTTTTTATTTGATTAAGAAATTCATTCCACTGGCCTCAGGGAAGCACAATATAAATGACACTTTTATTTAAAGAGTAAAGTTAGCATTAAGTTAAGAACACGGCCTTTCTCCGGACACACTGGATCCAAACACAAGATCACATCAAATTCCAGATGGAAAAAAATATATATACTGTAGTTCCCAAACAAAAACAAACAGAGAAAATAATTATAAAAATATAGCTGCGAGCAGCGATGAAGGGCCCAAGCCGGTGGCACCGCAACCCCGGTTCCTTAGTTACCTAAAAGCACCAGGGTGGCCATGCCACTGGCTTTGGCCCTTCATCGCGGATCACAGCTATATATATATATATATACTGTATATATACATATATATATGAAGCCGGTGGCACCGCCACCCTGGTGCCTTTAGGTTTATTGTGCACGACATGCAAAATGTAACCCTGCTTTGACTGATGCAAGCTCTACAGCACAGTTTATAGTAAGAAAGAATATAGTAAGAAAGAAAAGTAAGCTGTTACTCTGAGATGGTTTGGGAAACAAACATTCATCATGTCGCATTGGTTTTAGTTACTTGTCCTCGAACAGAGCCCTAATCTGTTTATATTTCAGTTACACATTCTACATTGATTAAAAAAGAAAAATCAAATGTGTTTTTAATTCATACAGAAATAAAATATTTATAATTCAGCTGAGAATAAAGTTAGTTCAAATTTTAAGAAAAACAAATATATGATCTGAAATATAGCACATTCATTTTTAAATTCATTCAGGTTCAATTACCAAAAATACAATCTTAATTTAATTTAAAGCAAATAATAAATCTAAAATATATGGGTTATATGCATATTTTGTAAAAAAAAGAAAAAAAAAGAAAGAAAGATATATATCCAAAAACACAAGGCCTTAAACTTTAACAAGGGTGCAACTCTTATCACTACAACAAACATAGTCACACACACAAGTCAAGTCACTTACATTTTATATGCAATATTGACTTTTTAGATGCAATATTGACTTTTTTCTGTTTCAGCAGAGAAAATAGTTAAACAAAGATCACAGCGACCCATCGCGCATCTCAAAGCAATGTGTTTTCTCATTACTGAATGATTCAGCATTTTGAATCCATGACTCGTTCATTAAGACGGTCACCTGGTGACACCTTATGGTGATTTAGGGTTATGTTTAAAAGTATCGTTCTTTACAGCGATTTTTAATTGACTCCTGTTAAACCAATCTCGTAACATTATTGTGTAACCGATTTAATTTGATCAGCCTTACCTAGGGTAACAGCCCTATAGTGTCTTATTATTCTAAATTATTGAATTTATTGCTCAAATTTACTAATGAAAAATGAAGCATACATTTATTAAGACTAGGCTGCCCGGCAGATATTAGGCTACAATATGCAGATTTAAATATACAATTTATCAAATAATCTGTTTATTTTTAGGTTACACATTACATTGTTTAAAAAATAAAAATCAAATGTGACCCTCTCTGGCGAAATGAGTCGGAAGTTGCAACCTTCCATTTTAAGATATGGGCCGATTATGTGGAAAAACCATGAAATAACAAAAAAAATATATATATATATTTTTGCTAATTTCAAAGAACAGACATTCAAAAATAATCTCACAGGGTTTCGTAGTCGAGATAATTGAGTAAAGGTATTTAAATAACGATTAAGTCAAAGCTTTAAATTCGCTGAAATAAACATTGCTCTTCTCAACTCCCCTCGTCACCTCTGAGCATTTCCCGGGTATCCCCTGAAACGTTGAACTCACTGGAGGCTTCTAACCTAAACTGCGTGAGTATATTTATCTGCAAGAAGAATATAGCCTATGTAAGGCTGTAACGATCGCGACACTCAGATCCACGAACCTGTGTCGCGGTGTGAGAAGACAGAATCACGACACCGACACGTCCCTTCAACTCCCGAAGTTATCCTTCACGTCCAGACCCAATGCTACAACATCTTTAAATTACTATTAGTATTATTTGAAGTTAACATTATAAAATACG